TGAAAGTGCAGTGAGGAGCTCTGTCAGCAATAACACAGAATACTGGACCAAGCAGGCTCAGGGGATGGTGCCAGAACTCTGAACCATATAAAGGGATGTTTAGAAAGTTGGAAGGCTTACAGCTTGGGGAATTTGTAGCAGAAGCAAGAAATCCATTGCTTTCTAATTCAAGACACTCAGCTGCTCCTGGAGCTGCCATCTTGAGTGAAACCAAGTAGGGGAAGGATCAGAGCAGCCACGGATGCCTGACAGAACTGTGGAGATAAAGGTGTGGACACTTTTTTTTTGTTTGTGTGTCTATTCATTGGTCTCTCACTGTCTACATACCTCGATTCTGGTTGCCTGAGTGAGTGGACACCCCACCCCCACCACCTGAGGGTTCTACTACTCATGCACACAGATCTCCTCAAAATTTAAAAAGACAGTTTCCACTTAAAACCAAATGGTCACAGCTAGCCCTGAACTGTTTATAACTAGAAAAAAAATGCCTGAATGGGGATTGTGGAATGGGACAGGCAGACTAAAAAGAAAATAGGCCAAAAATTAAATCCTGAGTTACGTCACAACGACCAACAGTGGCATCTTGAAATTTCTCAGGAAGAAGAGTGAAAAGGGAAGCCCATCTCCTGATAACATCTACCTGGAGACAATCAGAAAGCACAAAAAAATACCAAAATACACACCCATTTAACTATTAAGGCCACAGATAACTCCTGAATATGTCCAAAAAACAGAAGCAGATGACCATATCAGCACATGTCCAGAAATGAGATAAAGTGACTGAGGCAAATGAGCTGGAAGTAGACATACATTCCATACTAGAAGATGGGCAGGCTTTGGAAATGCTTGAGAAGAATTCAGAAAAATGATTATAAAATGTATCAAAACACTATACAATGGAGTTGAGAACAATAAGGAAGAAGTCAGGAAAGCACTACAGGAACAATCAAATAAGATAGATCCAGCATTGGAAACAATTCAAAACATACAGAAAGAAGTCCAAATGATTAATATAGAATATCAGAAATGGACAATATACTGAAAGGACAAAGGAATAGAATTGAAGAGATAAGAAGCCAGAACTAGTGAATTAGAAGATAAATCTCTCAACACTACTAAGATAGAAGAGCAAACCAAAAAATGGATACAAATCTGAAGAAGGCCTAAGATTCATGTTGGACAACATGAAGAGGAATAACTTAAGAATTATTGGCATTCTGGAACAGGAAGAATCATACAAGTCCACAGAGGAGATAGTTAAAGAGCTTCTAGAAGAAAAATTTCCTAACATCCTGAAAAGTGATAAGATAAGCATTCAAGAAGCTCATCAAACCCCAGAAAAGCTAAACCCTAAAAGACAATCACCAAGACATATAATAATCAAGCTCTCCAAAATCAAAGATAAGGACAGAATCCTGAAAGCAGCTAGGTAAAAGAGAAGTTTAATATACAAAGGCAAGTAAGTCAGATTAAGCTCAAATCTCTCAACAGAAACCATGCAGGCAAGAAGGTAATGAGGAGACATATATAAAACCCTAAAAGAAAAAAAACTGCCACCCAAGAATCCTCTACCCAGCAAAGCTGTCAATCAAATACGATGGTGTAATCAAAACATTCCAGGATAGGCAGAAGCAAAGGATTTTGCCAAAGCCAAGCCTGCTATGAGAAACATCCTAAAGGAAGTTCTGTGGACTGAGAACCAACAAGAACAGACAACAACCAGAAAATGACATACGTAGCAGCATCACCCAGAACTCAATCGACAAATGGAAGAGTCAAAAACAGAATAAAATTATAAGAAAAGAGGATCTGGCAGGTCAGTCTATGATCAAAACAATTACAATGTGAAAGAAGGTAAACACAGAATAATAATAATAATGATAAAATAGACTGTCTTAAATGGAGGGAAAAGTTAATGGAATATAAGATAACCACATCCAGGTGGTGGGAAGGTCAGGTAGATTACAGGATAAAATAGACTGTCTTAAGTGAAGGGAAGGGTTAATGGAATATAAGGCAACCACAACAATGGGGTTGGGGTGGAGGGTTTAGTTCGGGTGTTGGGGAGGGCAATACAAGAAGAGGGAGGAGGCGGAAGAACAAGATAGGGGAACACTGAGACAGGTTTGCATTGGCCTAGTGGGACAGAGGTAAATAGTGATGCATGCTCAACCTTGGAACAACATGGCTCTGGGATACAGGGATCTAGATATAGCTTGAAGAGGGGAAATAATACTAAAATCCTTGACTGTCTTATGAATATTAGTTTCCCTTGCCTACTATTGTAAAATAGACACTTAAGTGGGATAGAAAGGAATGCTGGGAAACATGAGTAGAGACAACTTGTAAGCTTGTCTTCAGCCTATAACTGATTGGAATTCCTAAAAGGGGTTCTAGAACTTGCCCAGTGAAATAGGCCTCGTGCACAGCCTTTACAGAGTATAGGACCTTAGGTGACATCCTGAGTCCCATCCACAACCTTATGGGGTGGGACATTCCCACTAGTAAGGACAAGCATACCAGCCTGGAACAGCTACAGTGACAGAAGATACATCTTCAAACAAAGATCATCAGGAAAAACCCAAAACAAAAATGTCAGCATGACTGGCTACTACTACAAGAATAAGCAAGCTGTTCACCAAGAAGACATCAAGGCAAGCAGTCAAGTTCCTTCAGGACAAACTCCCCTCTCAGATTGAAACTCAAAGGAACATACAAAAGGCATGTAAGCTTGCTGGCGACCAGATTGGTCTTCTGGTGAGTGGAAGAGGGCGAAAGCCAGCAATGAAGAAATGGGCTGAGTTCAACCACAGTCCATGGACTCCCGTTGACCTGGAGAAGAGAGAGAAGAGGAAGGGCTGATTGGTCCAAAGTGTGGTGAGACCAGAAGACACTTGAGCCCATGGACAAGTACATAGCCACAGAGGGCTAGAGCTGAGAATGAAGCATCCAGCTGATATGAAGTGAGGGGAGATGCACAAGAACACCCCAACATGCAGACAGTACCCTTTTGACCTAGCCTCGATGGCTCAATAATAAGAACTCGACTAGAAGATTACAGAAAATACACACACACACACACAAATTTTTTTTTTTAATAAAGGAAACAAGGGTAAATTGTTACAATTTGATGAACCTGACTTATATTCAGAAAGGTAGTTACTCTAAATACCAACAGAGAGGGAAGGAGTCTTCACATCAAGTATCAATGCTATCCCCTCTGAGCACAGGGTAGATAGAGACAGGCAACTTAGACATTGGCTACCTAAAATGAGGGGGTGATAAAGGTACGAAGAGACTGGCTTACAAGTTTTCAAGAGGGACTTTAGTTTAAGAGTATGAGGGGAAAGAAAGGGTCCTCACTGAATAGATTTTGTCTTGTCTAGATGGGTCTGGTGAAAAGAGATGGGGATAAGATTCATATGATTCAATAGTGTATAATTATCATGACTAGTTGCGACTGTCACAGTTGTAAAGGTAGAAGTTTTGTAACAAAAATGGGAGTGGTTAATCTTACAGTCCAGAAACAGAGGACCCTAGGGCCATCAAGGGAGAAGCGCACAAGCAGAATGCAGGACATTATCCAGAGAAGCAGGGACGCCAGAGAGGGAGGCAGAGATTGGGACCTGGAGAGAGGGAGCGGCTAAGGACTCTAGATTCATGGGAAGAGACAGACTAAGAGCTGGTGGCCAGGAGGCAGACTTGCAGAATGTGCCCTATGGAGATGTAAATTATTATATATGCCTGAGTGTTGTTGTTGTTTTAAGCTAAAAGGAGCTCTGGTAGTGTAGTGGTTATGAATCGGGCTGCTAACCTCAGGGTCAGCAGTTCAAAACTACCAGCTGTTCCGCGGGAGAAAGATGAGGCTTTCTGCGCCCGTAAAGATTTACAGCCTCAGAAACCCTGTACAGGGTTGCTATGAGTCAGAAACGACTCTACGGCACATAACAACCACCAAGTAGATAGATAGAAATACTGTTAACTGATGGTACATAGAGGGGATTATAATCATTGTAATGAAGCAAGGTGTATGATTTGTTGAATGTAAAACTGATGATCTGCCCTGTAAACTTTCATTTAATCTACAATAAAAGCCTTAAAAAAAAAAAAAAAAAAAGACATAGAAACCCTATACAGGGTCGGTATGAGTAAGAGCCAACTTGATGATGGCACTTAACAATGTATTTGAATTTGGTGCTGTAGGATAAGCACTGACTTCTGACCACAAGGTCAGTGGTTCAAACCCACCAGTCACTTCTCAGAAACCCTATACAGGGTTGTTATGAGTTGGGACTGACTTAACAGTACGTAACAACATATTTGGATTTAAACTCTGTCATTTACTATTTATGTCTTTATGCAATTTACCCAACCTCTCTGAATCTCAGTTTCCTTAGCCTAACCCTTATAATAATACTTAAAATTTAAAAGTATCATAATCCTTCTCCAGGATGGTTGTAAAGATTGTAATAAAGCATATACAGTTCACATTTCCTTCCCTTGTCCAAAATTAAGTTTTGGATTCAGCTTCTCCATCAATAAGGAACTCTGGTAGTGTAGTGGTTACGAATCGGGCTGCGAACCTTAAGGCCAGCAGTTCGAAACTACCAGCCGTTCCGCAGGAGAAAGATGAGATTTTCTGCTCCCGTAAAGATTTACAGCCTCGGAAACCCTGTACAGGGTCGCTATGGGTCGGAACCAACTCAAAGGCACATAATAACAATAATAATAATAATCAATAAGGAGTGACACAGATAGGTCTGTGATACTTGTGAAGGCAAAAAGCCCTGTAAGATATATAAAGCTTGTAGGCATCTCTGGACTTTACTGTCCACAACAAAGGTGCTGGACTGTTTGGGGCCCAAGTGAGAGGTTGAGGATGGGCCTCCAGTTCTGGGGAGAGGCCTAGACTTCAGAGGCCTGCTCCCAAAGGTCTTTCTGGCCTATCCAGGAACGTCCTCCTGCCCAAAAGAAATGACTGTTTTGTTCTTCACTTCCAGGGAATGGAACTTGCCCGTTCTTCACGCTGCTTCAGTCCTGAAGATATTAATGGAAAGACTCCAGTCCCTGGCACAAACCCGGACATGAATTATATGGAACTGCCACTAGCTGCCACTAGTCCTGGGAGTGGCAACACAGAAGCTGTGGTACTAAACTGCTCGTTGTGTCTCCAGGACCTGCGGAGTGCCGGTTCCAGGCTTCTACCCTGCCAGCACTTGCTCTGTAAGGACTGCTTCCAGGGCTTGATCCAAGAGTTGGCCCAGGTTGCCAAGGCTCAAGGGGTTGTCTCCGATGGTAAGTACAACAGCACCACTACACAACAAGTCTTTTCCTGTTTCATAGGATCTGAATATCAGGTGTAAAATGAATCAGAATTCAATGCCCCAGGGACACTGATTACTGAAAGGAACTCTTTAGGGGAAATCTATGAGACAAAGCAAATCCTCTTGATGCCTAATATATCTGTTTTGTAAGCTGGGACTTTTCATGTTTGGAATTTCCTTAAAGTGGTGGCAAACTAAGAAGCCCAGGAAGGTTTTGATTTAAGGTTTGGCTGACTGCAGATGGAAAGAACATGCCTGGACTCAACTAAATCTGGAGGCAGAGCAAGAAGGGCCGGGCTACCAGGGGGTTAGGAATGGATTTTTAATAGAATCACAGACTAGTGAATTCTTTACTAGATAACATGCAGGAGGAGCCTGTGTCTTGCTTCTGAATGTTAAGTTTCCTAGGAAACAATCACTTTGAGAAGCATGAAGTCCTGGAAGGTGGGAACCGTGTTCAGTATTATAACACAGGACATGTAACAGGTACAGTGATGAACCTGTAGAATGAGAGGGTAAATGATCAGTCAGTGTGCTTTGAGACATCATCTTTGATATTGTTTTGTTCTCTGCATTATTTCCAAAGTAATTTGTAGCACAGAGCTAGAATCTTTCTGAGACATTAAAGCATTGTGATTAACATTGTGGGCTTTTGATCTGGGTTTTGAGAACTTCGTGACCTTGAGCAAATTACCTAACCTCTGAGTCTGTTGAGTGTGTGGGACACAGAAAAAATACTATTTACATTGATTTTCAAATCTATATTTGAATATTAAATTTCCAACTCAAACTTAGTTCTTCCTTAAGCTTTGAATTATAATTTATGAATCTTATTTTTCTATTTATAAATAGAGCAAATTTTAACACTTTTAAAGAACCTGATTAATAATTTATAAACTTAATTGCTTTAAAAAATTGAATGTCTTATTTTCTTTTAAGTACTTCAGTTGTCTAACAAGTAGTTCTTCCTATTTAAGGAACTCTTGGAAATCCAATAAGTTAAATTTATAAACGTGGTGAATCTTAAATATGTTGTAAAAGTTCTAGCTTTTTTTTTCCCAGAAGGGCTGGGAAAGGAGAGGAATGGAAACCAGAAACACAGGGAGGAAGTGGGGTAAGTTATGTTAAATGGAGGGGACTAAAGTCATTGAGGTGAAATGAAATGTACTATTTGATTTGTTGAATGTAAAACTAATGATCTGCTTTGTAAACCTTCACTCAAGTCACAATAAAAAGTTTTTATTTTATTCACTCAAGTCACAATAAAAAATAAGTCCTAGCACTGTTCAGCATCAATTGTCTCATCATCAATAAATGCTCTAAAAAATTGTGGTAATGTATATGCTGAAAAGGGATGGCAACAACTATCCCTCCCACAGCCCTCTCTACTCAGCTGGGTTCAGTACTTCATTGCAGTGGCCACGCAAAACTCAGACACCATGCTCACAGCTATGGGATTTAGTAAGGAAGTTAGCAGGCTACCAAACAGGAAATGTTTAGGATACAGATCTTTTAGTCAGGACAGTCACTCTCTGTCCAGTCAGTGTTACAACGCTCTTTTAGGGCTGCTGATAAATGCCCACAGGACACACCACTCTACCATAAGCCTCAGCCTGAACGCATTTGGTCCTAGCTCTGTCAACAAACCTAGCTCCCCCAATTAATGGCCTAGAGGCGCCCCACTCTGCAGGCAAGTCTCTTGGTTCTGCTGATGCTGTTACTCCTCTGCCATTCCTCTGAGGTCACAACTTTCTGTCTTTAGGTCAAGGAAGTTCATTCAGTACACAGAAATCTCAGGGTCTAAAGGACATGTTCCACTCTTGGCTCTTTTTCTTTGATGATAGTGAGATATCCCCTCTCCTGCTTCTGAGATGACTTATTTAAAACCCACCAGGATGGTGACATTGATTAATTGCCTCATTCAATTTCCAAGTGTTTACAATCACAATCCTGTTAACAGTCACAAGTAAAATCATATAATCCACCAACATCTTCCCCCACCTTCTTACCCAGAAAAAGTTGGGAGGTGGGAGTTTTCAAAGACTATGATTAGAAGAGACATTAAATAATTGTCTACACCACATTATATATATAATAAAAACTTAGAGCACTGTTTCCATGAAAATGTCAAGTCTAGATCAATTATTTAATTACCATTTTAAGTTGGGATCACATGGCTAATCTTTTAGATATGCTAATATGTCAGAATCTTTTAAACATTACAAGTACTTAAACTGCCCAAATATTTAATAGTGTACAAAATTCCATATCTTCCCAGGACTAAAGGACACTCCCCTAACTAAGGAAATAATCAAGCAAATCATCTTAAGCAAGTTGGAATTTCTGTCTCTGGGCACTAAGGTTACTTAAAATCAGAGCAACTCCAGCTGGGCCACAGGATTCTTGCCAACACAGATACTCATGGGCCATGAGGACCCCTGTTTATACTGAAAAAGTAAATAAGCCATATTCCTGTTTGTTTTAATAAAAAAAATTACTGAAATAAAAGGTACATCAGAAAAGTGCACAAATGACTTGTGTACCATCTGATGAATTTTCACAAAGTGAACACATCTGTGTACCTATCCCCTCCATCTCTACCCCCACCCCCACCTCCAGCTCAGAAGTAGGATATTACATGCTCTCTGTACTCTTAACTTATGGAAAGTAGCCACTGTACAAAAGGACTTCAAAAAGTTTGTGGAAAATTTCCATGATTGGTTCATTGCATTTTTTTCCACAAACTTTTTGAAACTCCCTTGTACAGTAATTTGGCCGCTTTTTGAACTTTATATAAATGCTCAATTGTATTTTTTGTATAAGTTATTCTTTTCATTGCCTGTTGTTGTAGTTTGCTTATTCTTAGTGCTGTGTTGCACTCCAGTATATGAACATACTACCTTTGTATGTATCCATCCCGCTGGAGCGTGACGCTGGGTTTTTAACACCATGTTGTCGTCAGTTACTATTGAGTTGATCCTGACTCACAGTGACTTCATGTGTGCAGAGTAAAACTGTCCCAGTGGGCTTTCAAGGCTGTGATCTTTCAGAAGCAGATCACTAGACTTCCCTAGGCGTATCTAGGTGGATTCAAACTACCAACTTTCCAGCTGGTCATCAAGCACTTAACTGTGCCACCTAGCCAGCCACCTATTTTGAAATCATATCACTACCTAATTCTTCTAGCCATTTTTCTAACACCCATTATTTACCATTGAGTTGATTTCAACTCATAGTGACCCTATATGACAGAATATGCTTTCTAGGCTGTAATTTTTACAGATGCAAATTGCCAGGTCTTTTCTTCTGTGGAATGCTTGGTGGGTTTCAACGACTGACTACTGGCTTGGCAGCTAGATGCTTAACCATTGAGCCACCAGGGCTCCTAATGCTCATTGATGTTAAGTGCTGTCCAGTCTGTTCCGACTCATAGCAACTCTGCATAGAGTTTCCAAGGAGTGGCTGGTGAGTTTGAATTGCCAACCTGTGGTTCAAGCTAATCTTGTAGTCCAGTGCTTATCGTACAGCGCCACACCAGGACTCCATTGTTGTTGTTGCTAAGTGCTGTCAAGTGGGTTCTGACTTTTAGTGATGCTGTATAGGGTTTCTGAAGAGCAGATGGTGAGTTTGAACTGCTGACCATGTGGTTCAAGCTGACCTCTGAGTCCAGTGCTTATCTTACAGTGCCACCTAGGATTCCTAATGCCCACTGTTGTTGTTAAGTGCCATCAGGTTGGTTCCAACTTTTAGAAACCCTGTATGGGGTTTCCGAGGAGCGGTTGGTGAATTTGAACCTCTGACCTTGCAGTTCAAACTGACCTTGTGGTCCAGTGCTTAACCTACTAGACCACAAAATTAGCTAATTTCTTACTGGACCACAAGACTAGCTAGTTTCCTTCACTGCTTTGCTTAATTTGAGTTTATTTAGTTCACTTAAGATTTTTAAAGCAAACCAATGATGCATGTTTCTAAAAGCGTTATTTAACTCTAAAATCAGAGCACTAAAGACTTCCTAATGGCAATTATTAGTATCATGTTTTCTGGTGCCAAGTTACTAAAAATGCAGTAGAGAGTAAAAACATTCACTTTGGTGACAATATTATATCCTTATGTGAGTTCTGCTTTGCCTGCCACTTCACAGTTGTATCACTTGTGAACTTCATTTCATCCTTTCTGTGTCTGAGTTTTCTCACCCAAAAATGGAGCTGATGTTAGTAGTCATTGATAGAATTGTTATGAAGAATTAATAAAACAATACAGCATCCTGTAAAATGCCTAGCACACAATAAGAGACTAAGAAATGGGGTTGGGGTGGTAGTGGAAATGCTGTTATAATGAGTTTGTGATACTGTGAAGTGGAAAAAAGTCTTAGGTGAGCACAGGCTTGATCTAGAACCAGAGAGAGAAGATTATTTAATATGGTCTGGGTAAGCCATTTTCACCTTCCACATTTGCATTTATAGGCAAAGAATGGACTAAGCTTCCTCTCTACTAGAAGTTTTTAGGACTTTACATTGTGGCTGTGCATTAGGTCAAAGCCACCAACCATGGGAAAAGATGAGTCCATCTGCTCCTTTAGTCTCGAAAACCCTATATAGGATTGCTGTGAATCAGAATTGACTCAGTGGCAGTGGGTTTGGTTTTTATGGTTTGACACTGCATGAAAGGTGCCCTGGTGGTGCAGTGGTTAGGCATGTGACTGCTAACTGAAAAGTTTGAATCCACCGATTGCTCCTTTAGAGACAGATGTGACAATCTGCTTCTGTAAAGATGTACAGCCTTGGAAAGCCTATGATGCATCTCTATTGTGACCTACAAAGTTGCTATGAGTTGGAATCATCTTGGTGGCATTGAGTTTTATGGACACTATGGTAATTGTTGGTCTGTATGTCAGTCTCCCACACAAGTACTTACTGATCACTGTGTTCTATGTTCTTATAGCATTTAGGGTACAGAGATGAGAAGACAGGCCCTTTGCCTTCAAGGACTTCATAATGTAATGTGGGAGACAGAAATGTAAACAGCTTTTAGTAATAGTGTAATAGAAATGTGAATGGAGACTGTTGAAAGTTGAGGCAAAAGAGCAATATCTCAGGGATGGATTCACAGAGGAGGGCTTGCCTGAACTTTTTTCTTTCTTTTATCATTTCTTGTGAACTTTATTCCTTTCTCTGGGTCCAAGGTACTATCTGATGTCATTTTTCTGTAAGTTGAATGATTTCCTTTATCATATCTGACTAGCACAACTCTGCTGTGATTTACATTTGTGACTTTTGCTTACCTGAAATACCTTTATGTTTTAAAGATAATTTTGCTACCTGTAAAATTCCTTTTTTTAAAAAAAGCTTTTATTGTGAATCAAGTGACAGTTTATATGGTAGGACATGGGTTTTGCACTCAACCAATCATATTTTGTTTCATTGCAATGATTACCATCCCCTCCATGCACCATGGGTTAGCAGTATTTGCCTCTATTGATGTACACAAAATACACAGAAATATATATACATTTAAACAACCATAGGGCACATTTTCCAAGCTAGCCTCTTGGCTGCCAGCACACAGCCTTTCTCTTTCCATTCTGCAGTCCTCAGTTGCTCTGTCTCTCTATGCCTGCATCTCTGGTGTTGCTGCTTCTCTGGTTAGGATCCCATGTTCTACTTATGCGCTTCCCTCCTGATGGTCCTAGGGTCCTCTGTTCCTGGATATATGATTAACTACTCCCCACTTTTTGTTACACATCTTCTACATTTACAGTTGTGATGTTTGCAATTAGTCATGATAACAATTACTATTGAATCGAAAGGATCTTATTCCCACCCCCTTTTAACAGACCCATTTGACGAGAAGAAAAAATATTCAGTGGGAACTCTGCCCCCACCTGACTCTGAAACTAAACACACTCTTGAAAACTGGTAAGCCAGTCACTTTGTGCTTTTATAGCTGCGCCCCCCCCCCCCCCATTTTAAGTAGCCAGGGTCTTAGTTGCCTGTCCCTATCACTAAATTGTGTCTTTTTTGTTTGTTTGTTTTAAAAGTTTTTATTGTGAATTGAGTGATAGTTTACATGGGAGAACATTGGTTTTACACTCATCCTATGGTATTTTGTTCCATTGCAATGATTATAATCCCCTCCATGCATTATCATTCAACAGTATTCGCTTCTATTTCCTCTGTTTTTATTTATTTATTTAATGTACCCATAAATACTCAGGAATATATAATAATTTAATCAACCAAAGGGCACATTCTGCAAGCCTGCCTCATGGCCACCAGTATCTGGCTGCCAGTACACAGCCTTTCTCTATCCATGAGTCTAGAGTCCTCAGCTGCTCTATTTTATCGTGTTCTCATCTCTGCCTCCCTCTCTGGTGTCTCTGCTTCTTTGGATAGGGTCCCACATTCCGCTCATGCTGTTCTCTCTTGATGGTCCTAGGGTCCTCTGTTCTTGGACTGTAAGATTAACTGTTCCCCCCTTTTTGTTGCAAAACTTCTACCTTTACAGTGTGACAATTGCAATTCACCATAGCAGTTGGATCATAAGAGTCTTTTCCCCATCTCTAAACTCCCTCACAATCAGTTCTGATAACAATTATTCACTGTTGTATCACAAGAGACCTATCCGCATCTCCTTTCATCAGCCCCACCCAGACAGATTTGATACTACTTAGTGGAGAGTCTACCTTCCTGCACGCCCTCTGGATCTAGGCTCCCTCTTGAAAGCTTGTAAGCCAGTCACTTCTTGCCTTTGTAGCCCTCCTATTTTGGGAAGCCAATGTCCAAGTTGCCCATCCCTGGCTACTCTGTGTATGGAGGGCGTGGGAATGATCCTTGCTGTAAAGATTTGTTCCCTCTTTTGAGCTACTGCATCCAAAAGTTTAGGTCAAGTTCATCAAATTGTTTCAGATTACTCTTTTTCCCCCCTCTTCTTTCTTCTTCTAGTTGAGCTCTGATCATCCAGTCATTGAAGCCAGGTCAAGTGAGTATTATCTGCAAGTGTCGGTGTTCTTTGAACTGTCACTTGAAGGTGGAATATAATTTGGCCAGTGGGAGCAATCTGTCTTCAATTGTCTCTATGCACTAATATTTAAATGCTCTGGTGATAACAAGAATGGCACCTAAAGGTAGAGTTGCCATCTATCTGCTGCAATCCTAGTGAGATTCTAAACCTGAATTTGGATTTCTGGCCTGTGATTTGAGAAGCTATGTCTTGGGAGTCTGGTTCTTTGGAAACAGCTTTCAGCACTGCCCCCTTCATCCAGCAGAGTAATTTTTACGCCCCCGTCAGTCTGTTTTTTTGTTTTTTTAAGGTAAAATGTGGAAGCAGGTAGAGGGTTGGCTGGGGGTGTGGGTAAAGGCTGAGGAATAAAGAGATCCTCTGACCTCAATGCCTTCAGCCCGATATGGCCACATTGCAAGGGATGAGTCCATTTCCTTTGGTTGCTGGGAGAGGAGTTGCTGTGTAAGCGGAATGGAAGAGGGTCTGTACCTGAGTTCAGACTCTGCTGGCAGGTTTTTAATTCTAAGTCCCAGTGGAGCTTCTCTAGGCCTATACTCTTATTCTTGGGCTCAGAAATAAGGGCAGGGTGTGAGGTAGGAACTTTCTTAGTCAGCTAGACTATGCCTTTCATCTCTACAACCCACAGCCAACAAAGAACCAGACACAGGCATGGACTTAAGTGAATACTGAATAAATATTTTCAGTCAGTGAATTCGTGAAGACCTCTCATGGCTCTTTCTTGAAGGGAAGGCTTGTCCATCTGTCCTTTCTGTTATTTAAATGGAAGGTGCAAAGCACATTTATGAAGCACCTACTGGTCAGCAGACACTGTACTGGCACTTGTGCCCAAGCTATCTTTCCTAAACTTTACGACAATCCTATAATGCAGTCAGTGTTATTCCCATTTTACAGATGAAGAGCCTGGCACTTGGAAATTTTTAAGTCTAAGGTCTTACAACAAGTGTCAGGACAGGGATTCAGACTTAGGCTCACCTGTCTTTGAAGTTTATTTGTTGCGATACCACCTTGCTAAGGGAGAGAACCCACACTTATCTGAAATCTCACCAGGAGAGCTTTGGTGAGATTTATGGAGAACTTTGAGGAAAAAATAAAATCTGTCGCTTGAGCCATCAGATGCAAATCTTTCATTGACACAGCTGCAGCCTAGCCAAGACTCTCCCCAGCAACTTCCCCAGCACACTAGGAAACAGGACTGCATCAAGTCTCAGGCTCTGAGGAAATCAGCCAGGCAAGGTCTTTGAAAGCTAGTGATGGAGACCAGAGCCAAGATATTGGTGTGGTAAGTATTCAATGACTTAGCCACAGAGAGAGATGATTGGAGCTGCAGACTCCGTGCAGAAGGGCTGGATATTGGCAATGGATCTACTCTGTCATTGAGAATAGCTACTTGGGGATATTTGCTTGTAAGCCTAATTGGAAGTAGTCCTAGGTCAAATCCTAGTTGGAAAGTTGACTATTAAGTTCCAAAGTAATATTTTAAATAAATGTAGCAAGCTCTGCAGGGGAGCTGGCATTGTTAAACCTTCCATTTACTGTGTGCTGGCTCTGTCTTCAAAATGCTTAGGACCATTTTGATTTAGTTAAATTAATTGTTTATGGGGGAGAAAGGGCCATTGAACATTCTCTTTTCCTTGCAAGTAAAAGGAACATTATTCTTTCTCTTTCAATTGACTAAAAAACAAATCCTGGCTTGGAGACCTTAATTCTGAGATTCAGATTCCAAAATCTACTTGTTTGGTGTCCTACTTTCTCCATGTTCATAGTGGAGGATGAATGAAGATGTGGGAAGAGTTCTGACTTATGGAAGTCACAGCCCTGGAAGCTCATCTGGACTCTAGTACTAATGACTAGTGATCTCAGACCTTCTCTAGCCTTCAGGGCTGGACTTGAGCTCCAGGAACACCAAGGACCCCCTTCCCCCCATGCTTCCTGAAGATAGTGAAGGGTAGTAACATGTCCCATTGCACACTACTAATGCTGAAAGGGGGAGCAATCACTGTCCTCAGTGGGCAGGCCTTGGGGCTTTGGGAAGATCCAAAGAGAGGGGACTGATGCAAGATGCTACAACCTTGGAGTCAGAGAGGGAAACAGCTCTTAATGAGCAGCTCAGCTGGAGGGGCTCTAATGGCTTGCGGTGAGGTGAGAGTGGGAGGCAAGCGGGTAAAATCCCAGCCACAGGGTCCTGAGAGGTGAAGTGACTACTGTTTTCTAGTCCCAGATTCTAAACAGAGTGTCCAAGCTTGTGGGGTCGGTTGTGGGCCGTGACCTAAGCCTCCCAGGTGGAGGACAGGCCACTGATTGGCACTGAGCTGGGTGTGTGGCAGGTGCAGAAGCTGGAGCTCCGGAGTCTTATCAGCCGGGTGGTTTTTTTCTTCATGAACAGTTTCCTCACCCTAATTGGCTCTCTAGGGCCCTGTGAGTAGCACTGGCACCTCAGAACCATACCTGTTACTGGGAGAGCAATTCCCCTGGTGATGGAAAGGAGGCAGGCTGTGTTTGGAGGGGAATGTATTGCTGCTGCTAGTATGGCTTGGAAGGTTATAGCTAGAACAGATTTGCTGAGGAAGGGAATTTGAAGTGGCTGTGATTGATGGAGAGAGTCTTGGAGGGACCTGTTGTCTACTGGAGCTCCCTTACTCAAGGGGACCAGGAAATGGGAAAAGCCCTTAGAGATAATCTCCAATCCTGTACTGCATGAATGGGGCATCAGGAGGCCAGCAAGGGCTTGGATCCTGTTGAAGATCACATAATTGGTCATCTACAGAGCCAGAACAGAAACCCAGCTCCCTTAACCACTAGTCCAGGACTTGCCTTGGCTTGAGAAGACCAACAGAAAATGCAGACCTAGAGTAGGATGTTGCCCTTGGATCTCCCACTGTCTCTCTGTACAGACCCAGCTGCAAATGGGGGTGTGTTAGTACATCTATCCTTGACCTTGTATGGAGTGTGAAATACCTTTTCCTGGTTAATAACATACTATCCAAACTTGAAGGTCCAAGTCTAATGTGACCCCATTAATAAAGCTGCCAGTACTGCTTGAATAAGTCTGATCCTCATTACCTGAGGGTGACGCAGCAACATTTAAATAACTGTTAGTTTAAACCAGAGGTCAAGATTTTTCTGTAAAGGGCCAGATAGTAAATCCTTTCAGATTTGCAGGCCATATGTCTGTCACAACTATACAATTCTACTATTGCAGTATAAAAACAACCATGGACAGTGAAATGAATTGCATGACTGTGCTTCAGTAACACGATATTTACAAAATAGATTATCATGCATTAATCCCTACTTTAGATTCTTTCTGGGGGAGTTGGGTAGATCTGAACTGGTGGCTGGCCTCAAGTCAAAACATTTATGTAGTAGCTAGACAGGGCCAGGGGAGGACAGATCCATTATTAGGAACAGTTCATTTTGGCTGGAATTTGGGAATCTTCTGAACTCTTTTTGAAAAGGAAATTTTCCATAAAGGGCCAAATTGTGAAGAGTCTCAATCAACTTAAGTTTTTCTGTAGGCATTGGGAACCACTGAAGGTTTGTAATCAGTGGAATATTTTGATCTGTATCTAAAACCAGTCATTATGATTTGATGAGAAGGATGATTGGAAACAAGAAGACCTGTCAGGAGCCTGTTATAGTTCTCCAGCCCACTGGGTCCTGATTGCTGGTCTTTGGACCAGTGCTGCTCTGGATGCCTAAGAATGACTTAGAAAACTTGTTAAAAATTACAAATAGCTGGTCCCATACTAACACTCTCCAGATTTGGAAATCACTAGTCTAGCCAAGGGAAGATGAAGAAAATGTGGATGCCAAAGAAACTAGGGCACAGATAAGACAGGGTTTGGCAGTGGCCCTCTTCCTCCTCCTGTGTCCCTGACAGCCCATCCACATGACTCCTCTTCTTTTTCTTTCGCAAACCACCACTGCCCCCAGCATCCTATCTAGGCCAGGCCCTATTCATTCTCATGGAAACAACTCTTCTTTTTGCTTCTACTCTCATTTGTTGTTGTTGTTGTTGTTGTTATGTGCCATGGTGGAGTTGATTCTGACTCATAGCGACCCTGTACAGGGTTTCCGAGGCTGTAAATCTTTACGGGAGCAGAAAGCCTCTCTCATTTAGTATCTCATTATTGCTCACAGGACACAACTCCTGTTTGTCCTTCCTAGCTCCAGTTCACCAAGACAATCATAAAGCCCAGCTCTGTCACTCTCCAGAACCTTTCCCGACTTGACTGCTTTGACTTTAGCATCAAGGTCAAGCTTCTTAGTTTAACACTCCGGGGCCCTTCAGGGATTTACTCTCCTGCCAGTCTTTCCAAGCTCATTTCCTGCCACACCCCACAGCCATATCTGATTGTGCTCTTGAAATTATCCTGTACTTTTTAGTCTTGCCCTGTCCTTATACTTTTCTTGTAAATCAACTCTTTTCCTTCTCTTCTTTTTCCCTGTTGTATATGAGTGCATCTTCCATGGGTGGGGGTAGAGTCTGGAGCCCTTAAGGGACACCTCCCGGGACCTTTGTGCATCCTAAATGTGTGTCTTTTCCAACTGAAGTCCTAATCCTCCGCTTGTGACGGACAGTTGGTCACTATGGCAACTGACTGTGACGTCACAGGATAAGGACTTCAGGTGAAGTGGCAGGAGCAGGTGAGTGTGTAGCTGACAGACCTAAATGTCTGTGGAAGGCTCCCCCACACACCCTTCCTCAGTGCCGGGGCATGGAGGGATGTCTTGGGCTCCTGCTGATTTTGAAAATGATGCGGTGAGAGTGTGTGCCTGGCATCTGCGTGCTGCAGCAGTGTGGGGCTGACAGAGTGTGTCAACTTGAGCTCTGGCTGTGCAGGCACCGCTGCCGCGTGAGCCTGTTATTCCGTTCTGGATTGCTATTTTGATACCCAGATTGCATCATTCTTCCTACGTATAAACAGGGGGTCCCCAGGGCCCTGCAGCTACTCACTTCTCCACCAACACTGTTGTTGTGATGAGCTCTATTTAAATGAGCTGCCGGATCCGGGCAGGCTCCAGCCACACATGAACACTGTCAATTTGGGGAACATGGAGGGCTGAAGGATTTTTGGATCGAGTCCTAAAAGGCTGAGAGTGATGGCCTCCTGAACTGTGCAGAGGGCGGCATTGCTAGTTCCTGAAAGTTGAAAATCTCGTTTGCTTCCTTCTGAGCTTCTATTCCAAGGCACCCAGAGGATTAGGAAGGAGATGCAGCTAGGAAGAGAGTCTCTTCTTTGAGGTCTCCCTCTTGCTGTTCAGTTTGGGAAAAATTTCTGCAGAGCCTCCGAGATAAACAGGAGCAGGAGGAGCCAACCAAGCCCTTTCTTGCAGGAGCGTCTCAGGTGAGCTGGAGAAATGCAACCCTGGCTAATGATGCATCCGAAAAAGGAGGAGAGGAGCCTGGCTGCTCCCCCTTCCCCACCCAGGACCCAGCTCCCTGAGGCCCAGGCCCTGCAGCCTGCAGGGTGGGTGTTCCTGAGTGCTTGATAAGCACCATCCTCTGGGACACTGGGGGTCTCACCTGTAGCTCTTCCGACTTCTCTTACAGGGCAGCAGGGGCCACAGGTAAGGCTGCTGGCAGCCACGGGTAGAAACAGCAGTCACCTTAGAGATGTCTTGGATCAAAATCTGTCTATCCAGAAAGGCACTGGGCAACTGGGAAGTGGGTGCAATGGGTTTCTCAAAGATGGTGTTGCTCTGAATTATGGAAGGCTTCAGGGGCTTGTGTGGTGGAGGCCTTAGCGGATCCATGCAGACTCAGGACTGCTCTTGGTTGGGAGGGCAGGTGCGATTAGTGAGGAGGGCCAGTCTGCCAGAAGATACAACCAACGTGGCTTTTTTCCTTAAGTATCACCTGACAGAGAGACAGGGAGGTAGAGTGTTTTACCTACCAGATTATCAAGGACTGCTCAGTGGTCGGTTTTAGGCACCCATATGTTTAATGAAGGCTATGTGGTTTTGGACTAAGTCCCCCTTTCTCTGGGCCTCCTTGTTACCATATGAATGGTGAGGGAGTTGGCTAGATGAATAGTGAAGGTCTCTATCCAGCTTTGGTTCTATAGGTGGAAGCTGGCAGAGAAGTCTTAGGTTTGTGAGGGCCAGAGTTGGAGCCCTGGATAAGATGCCTGGAAAAAAGGGCTTCCAACCCTCAGAGAGTTGCTCAGGGCAGGATTTAGGCTTATATACCTGAGGTGTATGTACACTTACCTGGGGGTCCAATCAAGCCTCCAATCGCTTAGGTTGCTTTGGTCTAGCTATTCCTGCCTGAAAGGTAGATCCCCACCCCCCACCCCACCCCAGCCTAGGCCTCCATCCCTGCCTCACTCACTTCTGGGCTCAGCATCCCCAGCCCCCAGGCTGTCATTGCAGAGGGTGCTCATGGCTGCTTCAGTTGAACTGGGAGTTAGGAGGGGCAAGACATGTCCTCCAAGTTACCGCCAACCTCCAGGGTACCTGGGTATCAGGAGACATTTTGTCTGTTGGGAATCTGCCCTTGTCTTCTCTTTGCCAGAAAGAAAATGCACCACAGTTGTGTCAGTTTTATTAAGTTCTGGAGCCTCCTTTTGAAACTGGACAAGTGTTACCACCCCAGCCTGTCTTTCCCAGTTGCTTGAGACTGGGCACAGAGCTTTCAGGCCCAGTCACAGGGTAAGGGGTGCGCTCTCCAAGACATGGGTCCTTAAACTTGATTGCACATAGTAATCACCTGGGAATTTAAAAAATATACTGGTACCTGGGCCCTATCCCCTAAAATTCTGATTTAATTAGTAGGCGATGTGGATTGGACATCATTATGTTTTAAAGTTCCTTAAGTGACAAAAAAATACATCAAAGTTTAAGAACCACAACTCTAAAGGATGAAATGCACCCTGATTTCCTTTCTCCTGGCAGAAAACCTCCCATTTCATTTGCTTTTTCTCAAAGATATTTCTTAAAACTTTTCAGCACAGCTGGTACGGCTCCCAGTCTCCTCCGGCTTCCCAGAGTCCAGGTCATCACTAGAGACAGGTCATTATCATGGGATCATAGATTTATTTATAATCAGATGATCTAATTGTCAAAAGAAATAACCTGTTTATTTACAATTGAATTAGAGAGGCATATAAGTTCAATGCTGTTGAGTCAGTTCTGACTCATAGTGACCCTGTATAGGGTTTCCGAGGAGCAGCTGGTAAGTTTGAACCACCGACCTTGCGGTTCAAACTGACCTTGAGGTTGAGTTCTTTTCCTATGGCACCACAACAGGACTCCAGAAAAGGCACGAGTTTTAGAGGCAGGCAGATTTCAAATCCTATCATAGTTCAAGTCATAGTTCTGCCCCTGCCTTGTAAGATCTTTGACAGGTGAAATTAACTTTGCCAAGCCTCAGTTTCTCCAGCTATAAAATGGGAACAATGTTTACTTCTCAGAGATGGTTTGGTGATTAAATGAGATAAGATATGTAAAATGCCTGCTGTAAGATGTAACTTTGTCCCAGATCTCCCAGGGACCAGAAGAGCTGGTTCTGGTTATAGACGGACTAACTGTCCTTAGCTTTGAGAGTGCTCTCCATAGTCCCTAAGCCTTCAGGAGAATCTCTGGTGTCTGTGACCTCTTCATTGTGGATGCAGAAATCTCACCTTATTTCATGATGGTAGTTGCCTGGGTTTGGCTTAAATTTCTCAAGGAGCCTTGGTAGTGTAGTGGTTAAGTGCTGGGTTAAGTACTAAAAGGTCAGCAGTTCGAACCTACCAGTTAGTGTGTGGAAGAAAGATGAGCTGCTTCCTAAAGGTTACAGCCTAGAAAAGCCTATGGGGCAGTTCTAGTCTGTCCTATAAGATTATAATGAGTTAGAATTGACTCAACAGCAGTGGGCTTTGGGGGGTTACATTTGTTAGTATTGACGTTTCTGTGTATAAAATAAAAGCTTAAGACTGTTGCTTGAATAATTCGAATATGAAAAAAATAACATATCTAAATACTATTTTATGCACTTTGTGATTTAAGCTTGTATTCATAACTAAATTCATATCATATATTGTAAGTAGATGTTTGATTATTTTGTATATATCCACAGTCAAATTGCTTAAAATAAAAGTAAAAAAAAAAAAATCTTGATTGAAAATTGGGGAATTCTCTTTAAAAAAAAAAAAAAAATTCAAGTTTGAAACAGCTTGATGGGGCTAGGGTGGTTCCACGGGAAGAGAAAAGAGATGAGAAGAATTCTTGGCATTGTAACACATGTGTGCTGTGTCCACTCGGGAGCCCACAGCCTGCCCCACTGGATGATTCCTCATCTCTGTTGCTTGCTGCAGCTGCCCTTCTCCTCAGGGGGTGGTCTTTTAAATCCAGCCACAGGTCTGCCCCTGACTTCCTGAGGAGCTTGATAGCCAGGTTGCCAATTGAGTTCTGTCCCTCTCCATCTTGTTAAGAGGAACATTTCTGAGGCTTGGCAGTAACAGATAAAAGGGATGGATAATCCATACTTCCCTGATATTCCTGCTCCCCTCATTTGAAGGATGTAGAAAGTAAAGTACAGAGAAAAAGGATGACTTGCAAGGTTACAGTCAAATAGTGCTAGCACAGAGCCTGGAACCCATCTCTCCCTATTCAAAGTCCTTTCAAGTACCAAGTACCTAACCCTCTCTCTGAATCAGACCTCATTCCTTCATCATCCCAGACTGGTTTTTCCCCCATCACCTAGCAAATTTCCAGATGGTTCTTACTACTGTCAGTGGCTGAGTGCAAGGAATACACATGGAATATACAAACTAATAAATACAATTGTCCAGTTTGCTAAATATCATGCTGTAGCACTTAATATCAACTGTGAGTTATTTTTGTATACAGATACATGTCTGAACAGATTCTTAGCATCAGTCTGATATTTTTTATACTAGAAGGGTATTCATGGTACTGTGGGAATCCTAAAGAAGAAATGATTAGCTCATCTGGAGGGAAACCAGACCCTGTGTCTCAAAGATGAAACATTTGAGCAGTTTTGAAAGGATATGTAGGACTTTATCTGGAGGGGTGAGAGAAAGACAGAATATTTCAGTCGGAGGAACATTTTCAAAGACAAAGTCAGGCAGGGTTTGGTGTCTTCAGGAGGTAGCAGAGATGTTTGGTTTGGCAAGGACAAGGTAAATGACAGATGATGCTAGAGATGAGAATAAAGAAGAGTTAAGACCAGCTTGAAAAGAGTTTTGAATGCAAAGCTAAAGATTTTGACTTTTAAGGCCAAGGGAGATAGAGAATGTGGGATGAAGTCATGCATGACTTGTTTCATTCTTTCTCTGTTTCAATCTGCTAACATGATTGTTACTATGCTCAATGCTTGAACATCTAGTACTAGGGATTTTGGAAATCTTGTAAAAATCATTTTAAACAATTAGATCGGCATCTCTGTTCTGCAGAGCTGGATAAAGAGGGTCTCCCCAGGGACAGCCAAATAGAAGGGACAATCACAAATAGAAGGGACAATCACAAATAGAAGGGACAATCACAAATAGAAGGGACAATTCCTTTGGATGATGCCACCTGTGGAGGGCCTCCTTCTCCACCTCTGGCCATGGTTTTTGGCTGACAGGAGAATATCCAAGAGATTCCAGATCCAATTCTGTCATGAAAGTCTATGGATCTGTGGGAGGGAAGGTTTAAAACTATAATTTTACATGATTTTTTGGATTTTGGTTCTTTAGGATGTGTCAGTTAGCTTTTTCTGCGTAACAAACCACATCAAGACTTGGTGGTTGAAACAACAACCATTTTTTAGCCTTTGATTGTTCAGGTTGGCAATTTTAGCTTGGACCGGTAGTTCTTCTGGTAGGGACTGGACTTAGTTCATCTCTGCTGTGCTTCCCTCATGGTCTGTGTTCAGCTGGTGAGTTGGCTGTGGCTGGCTGGTTTATGATGATCCCACGTGGGACATCAGAGACAACTGATAACTCTTCTCTACATGGGATTTCATCTTTCAGCAAGCTAATATGGGGATGTTCAGTCTCAGAATTTTAAGAGCAAGAACAGAGCAATATAAAGTCTAGGTTTAGAACTTATTCAATGTCACGTTTGCTGCATTCTGTTGGCTAAAACAGTTACAAGTCCAGCGTAGATTCAAGAGGTAAAGAATAGACTCCACCTTTTGATGGGAGGATTACAAAGTCACGGAGCCTGGGAGGCAAAGAATTGTTAAATTGACCACTAGAGGTCCACTCACGCTATCTGACTTTTATCACTAGGATAAAAGTTGATAATTGGGGGGTTAGTGCTTTACCATGAGTGGAATATGAATTCAAAATCAACATTCATGGAGGGTCATGTGCTTTCACAAGCTTTATCTAATCTACTCCTCAAAACATCTCTTATTTTTCCTTTCTACTTTACAAATGCAGAAACAGGGGCACAGAGGTATTGAGTAAGATTAGGTGACTTATCCAAGGTCATTAGATGGTAAGCTTGCTATTTGGACTTGTTTGTCCACCTTCAAGTAGAGAGTAACTGCCACTGTATTTTTCTATTTGATGAGATGAGGCAGAGAAGACGGAGGGTGACACAGTGGATTCACTGCCACAGTCAGCCCTTTCCCAGGCCATCCTCATCCTGGGCACAGGCACCCTGCGCTACTCTGGAGGCTCGCTTTCTTGTTCCCCATGGATTGACTGCTCCTACGGTGGGGCATGAAGAGTCACCATTGTGTTCAGGGGGACAATCCCTTACTAAATAGACCTCTGCTAACCAGTTGGATAGCTCTGAAGCCCTCTAGGCTGAGGAGTGTGTTAGAGTCTGTTGCATTTCTCTTAGTGCAGTGTGTGTGTGTGTGTGTGTGTGTATGCAGGGGAGGTGAAGGAGTAGTACAAGATGTGCACAGATGAAACAAACATATATGTAGTGCACCGAACATCAACTAGGTGGAGAAACTCAGCAAAGGATCTTTGATCCCCAGGGCTCAGACTGATTGTTCCAATGGAAAAATACCTCCTAGATGAACAGGAAAAGAGGCCTTGCTTTTCACTGGCTAGAGCCTGCTAGAGCTAAACTAGTCCTGCTACATGGGTGTTATTATGTGCCGTGGAGTCGGTTCCGACTCATAGTGACTCTCCACAGGGTTTCCGAGGCTATAAATCTTTACAGGAGCAGACTGCCTCATCTTTCTCCCGCAGAACTGTTGGTAGTTTTGAACTGCCTACCTTGAGGTTTGCAGCCTGATTCGTAACCACTATGCTACCAGAGCTCCTTCATTAAGAGCACTTACATGGTAGATGCTCTTAATGGCTGGAGTTATGCCCCAAGCTAAATGAAGCATCTCAAGCTTGGCCAGTTATGGGAGCTGGGCTCTCAGAGCTGTGGGATTAGAGGTGGGAGCAGAAGGAAGGTATCTGATTGTCAGAACTAGAGCATGGCTTATGGGGAGGGGAGGGAGGGTAGGACCAGGCAAGGACAAGGTTGTGAAGAAGGCATAGGAGCTTTAGGGCAGGTCCCTAAAGATATAGTTATATTCAGAATACCTAGATGGGGCACTGGAGTATATGCATTGGACTGTAAAGTCAGCAGTTCAAACCCATCAGCTGCTCTTGAAAACCTTATACAAGATGGCTAAGAGTCAGAACTGATTTGACACGGCACACAACAACAACAATACAGTAGAAGGTCATCGAGAAAGAGCAAGACCCTCCATGAAAGAGACTGACACAGTGGCTTCAACAACGAACTCAGACGTAGGAATGATTGTGAGGATGGTGCCAGAAAGGGCAGTGTTTTGTTCTTTTGTACAGAAGTCAGAATTGACAAACGTGCCTTGCTTGGGCGCAGTAGGTATTGGCACATACCCGGCTGCTGTACATTAGAAAGTCTCATGTCTAGGCCGTGTGTACAGTCTTCCATGTTGCTCTGACTCTGCTTTCCCTCTCTCCTAGAGCTCATCTCCTGTCCTGGTTGCAAGCGAGTGTACCTTACCAGGGATGTAACAGAACATTTTTTCCTACAGTGCTTTCCTGAGGGGCAGCCCAAAATGGCCAGGGTAAGTTGGGACAAGGAAAGAAGTAGTTGAGCCTTTTCAGAAATTTGTGGGACTTCTTTCCGTAAGTCTGTCTGTCCACCTATCTCTCCATCTGACTTTTACTTCTCCATAAGTTTGTATAATCATCCATCCACCCATCCATCCATCTACATTTCTATCCAGAAGAGAACCACGGCATTTTTACTGGGGGAAGGTGAGTGGGGGTTTTCTACTAAGTGAAAATTACTGTGCTTTCCCTTTGTGTCAATGCTTTGAGCAAAACATAAAGATCTCTCTCTCTCTTTTATTTTTTAAGTGTTTTTTTTTTTCCATCTCTTACAGTTCTTCTTGAAAACTATAAGTGCTGAGTTTATGTTTCTATTTTTCCTTTTTTAAATTTCTTTTATTTCCACCAGCCTGGATTAAACAGGTTTACCAATCTTGCCTAAACTTGACAATGAATACCCTATTCCCGAGTGTCTGAAACTTCTCATTATGTACTGAGTGGTACACCTTAGGTTCATATCCTTGCCACTACATCTTTTCCATTCTCTCTTACTTACAGCCTGTCCCAGATGCTAGTGAGACATACTCATGGTCTTTAACCCCAAGGACTTTAATTAATAAAACTTGTATTTGAAGGAGCCCTGGTGGTGCTGTAGGATAAGTCCTAGACTGCTAATCACAAGGGCACAATTCAAGCCCTCAGCTGCTCCACAGGCAAAAGACGAGGCTTTATGCTCCCATGTAGTAGAAGCACAGCCCTGCAAATCCTGTACAAGGTCACTGTGAGTCATAATCAACTCAATGGCAGTGGGTTCTTTTTGGCCACTTCCTATCATAGTTTTGTTAGCTGCCAGTCTGAGGACATAGTTGTCAGAATCCATGTAAGTTGGTGGCCTGTATGACTTAGGCTGAATTGTGGAGTTAAGTGTTTGGTAGCAGGGAGTACTAGTGGAGCCTGTTAGTTTTTCTGTGCTTGATTATGTGTTTTAAAGTAAAAAGAAGAAAAGAAACATGTGGTCATTGGGCCAGCATATGTTAATTGTCCATGCCTTTCAAATAGCATATAGTGCTATGACTAACATGCCTGTGGGGCTTGGTTACATATGGCCAGCAGGGTCTCTGAATGAATCATGACTTACATGAATGGTTTTCAGGTTCTGTAATTAGAACTCTTCTTTAGGTGAGTCTTATGTGGATGCCCAAGAGATAAAACAGAGAAACTGTTCGGTTGAAACAATGCAGGTAGATACAGTGCTCTGCCCTTTTAGCCCTTGGCTTGTCTCTGAGATGATTCCCAAGAACACCTTGAAAGCCACTGTAGACAAGCTTGAGTACAGTCCCTAAAAACAAAACTGACCTCCAAATTTCATCTCCATCTTCTGCTTCACCCTTCGGGCACCTCATTTTTCGGATCCAACCAACTTCAGAGTGTGGTTGTACCTCCAGGTGTTTGTACAAGTTTCCTTTTCCAGACTGCCCTTCCAACTTCATGATGTGGCCTATTCATACTCATTCTAAGCATCACTTCATGTGCAAATTCTTCCCTGACAGCCCCTCAGACTGGGTTAGGTGTCCCTCTTTTGTGTCTTTTCCTGTCACACACTTCACACATCAAATACTTCAGTCTTTCTCTGTGAGCAGAATTAGTGCTTCCTACCCTTGAGAATTATTGGCATTATCTCATTTTTAAAGTTGGAAATTGGAAATTGGAAATTTAGAGATGCTTACTTAGTGAGTGGTAGACCAGAGACTGAAATCTAGCCCTTTAATTTCCAAAGGCCATGATTTGTCTTTTTTTTTAAAAAAACAACAACAAAAAATTATTGTGAGTATTACAGAGAGAGTAGATCATCAGTTTTACATTTAACAATTCCTACACATCTTGTTTCATCTCATTGATTGTAATCCCTCAATGTAACATCACCGATCTCACTTCCTCCGTGGGTTTTCATTCCTCCTGCTTTCCTAACTTTTCTGAACTTTGATGATGGTGGTGACTTGCCATGGAGTCAGTTCCGACTCATACAACCCTGTATACAGGGTTTCCAAGGCTGTAAATCTTTGTTGTTGTTGTTGTTAAGTGTCAACGAGTCGGTTCCGACCCATAACGACCCTGTATAGGGTTTGTGAGGAGCAGCTGGGAGCAGAAAGCCTCATCTTTCTCTTGTGGAACATCTGGTAATTTTGAAATGCTGATTGTGAAATTAGCAACCTGATTCATAACCACTATGCTACCAGAGCTCCTTTTTATCCTTGTTGTTGTTGTTGTTGTCAGGTGCCATCGAGTCAGAACCGACTCATAGCGACCCCATGCACAGCAGAACGAAACAATGTCTGATCCTGGACCAACATCACTACTGCCTCCACACTCGATGCCATCAATGATGCCACCTGGCCGATCCATCTTGTTGGGGGTCTTCCTCTTTTTCTCTGACCCTCCACCTTACCCAGCATGACATCCTTTTCCAGCGACTATTCCCTCCTGACAATATGTCCAAAGTATGAGAGACGAAGCTTAGCCATTCTGGCCTCCAAGGAGCACTCTGGCTGCACCTCTTCCAAAATAGATCTATTGGTTCTTTTGGCAGTCCATGGCACTTTTAGTATTCTCCTCCAACACCACAATTGAAAGGCATCAATTCTTCTACAATCTTCCTTATTCACCGTCCAGCTTTCGCATCCATAGGAGGTTATTGAAAATACCATCCTTAGGTAAATGCTATCACTTTGATCTCAAATGGTTGAGTATTCTAAAGTGTGCCCATCTCTTTTGTGTCACTGTACCCCCATAGGCCTGTCTGTCATTTAGCTAAAATGAACTATGGGATGAGTTCACTTTCAGTCAAACAATAGAGTTGAGTTCCAGGTCTGAAGGGGCCTAAGGTCATACTCTCAGGGACTCCATCGGTTTCTATTTGACCAATAAGCCTTTTTTTTCTTTCTAATGATTTTGAGCTTTTTTCTAGGTTCTTTCCACATTTTTCCACCATTTTATCCAGGACTGTCTAATATGATCACTTTCCGGGCAGTTGGTAGTGGTAGTCAGGTTCCAGCTAGTTCTTTTGGTCACAAGATCGAGGAGACTGGTATTCATGTGGTGCATTGTACTGTTTCCATGTGTCTTTGATTTTCTTCATGATTCTTTCCTCTGATGAGGGAGAGACTAATAATTGTACCTTAGATTACCACTCATGAGTTTTTAAGACCCCAATCTCTGCTCATTAAGTACAACGTAGAACATCGTCTTTTGTGGACAATGTTAAGGCCATGCTCCTTTTACAACAAATATTACCTACCTTTCCACTGAGTTTGGTAGAGACACTGTGGTGTAGTAAGCCTTTCAGATTTTTTTTTGCCCTGCCAGATACAAGGACAATTTTTGAAGCGAACTGTGGAATTTCTTCTTATGTGTCAGAGAATGTCTAGGTCTTGCAGGTGAGCCTTTCTTCATAGGACGTCTCTGATGTCAGCGAGCTATACCAGTCAACTCTCCCACTCCCAAATTTTAAGGGATTAGCAGTCATTTGTCACCCCTGGCAGGCAGAATTTAGCAAAGCAGAGGCCCCATATAGTTAGCTTTTGTCTTGCCTAATGGCAGGAGGGAAAGGTAACTTTTTTAGAGCCTTTCACTTCTTACAAAGATCCTAGTGACACATGAGTTAAGCATTGGACCCTTAATTGCAATGTTGGTGTTTCCAACCCAGCAGTTGCTCCATGGAAGAAAAATGAGGCTGTCTTTACAGTCTTGGAAACCCTATGGAGCAGAGTTAAAATAGACTTGACAGCAATGAGTTTGGTTTTTCGTTTTTCACTTTCCCCATTATCTAGTTAAGATTGTGTGGATAAGACCATCGTATAAAGTGGCATATGTAGACTGCATTATATGTAATGTATTTAGTTCATAATACCATCAGATAGTGTAGTTTGAGGGGAATGAAGTTTGATCCCAACCTAATAACACACCTGAAAAGTCTATTATCCAACTTCTCCAAAGCTCCTCTTCTGATGTTTTTTATCTGCAATGGCAAGATATTTGCTGATCCAAACGAATGAATAAAGCAGACTAGGTACTCTCAGGCCAGGCATACCCCAGTTGTGGAAATACAACTCTGAAAATTGGTCTTGAGAAATGGAGTTTTAATTCTCATGAAACGCAGATTTCTGGATTCCATGGAGTTTAAGGTAATCCACCCAGCTTTTCACTCTGAGATGATCTTTGAACCTTGAGTCTTGAGAAAACAGGTTTTCTAAAAATCACCTTTAAATCAAACAATAGTCTAGCCTTGGGGAGTATGCTCTTTTGAAGAATTATGCATGTAAAATTTCAACAAAAAACGCCAAAGGTCAGATTAGAGCTATGATTTAGGGTAAATCAGTATTACTTTAATCATTCTTCCAGACAATGCTGAATGGAATCCTTTATGACCACAAATTGCTTTTTATCTGTTGTATTCCAGACCTTTTCCCATGGTAGTGAATGAAGGGGCTTCAGAAAGTTCATGGAAAAATGGAATTAGGGTATAATGGATTCTTTTCACAAACTTTTTGAAGCCTCCTAATATCATTACTAGCAACAAGAGTCTTGGGAAGTTTTTGCTACTTTGGAACATTTTTGACTCCCTATCTGAAATGTTATTCCAGTTTGTGAATCGCATATTAAATAATGCTCAATCCGTTGGTATGATTGTTTTAATATGATTTTTAATAGTCTGTACTGGTTCTTTCTTGGCTGTTTTAGATCCTCTTTCTGTGTACTCCTTCTTCTGGGGCTTCCTCCTTTCGATAGGCACATTGACTTTTCTGCTTTTGCTTATGTTTTCCCTCTTTTATAACACTTGTCTCCTGGGTAAATTTCTATGTGTAATAGCCAACTCAACTGTGAAGCCTCTCCTGGCCACTTCGAGGCTGAGCTCACAGAAACCTCTCTTTTTCCCTTAGTACAAGATGCATTCTGCTATCACTGTTGTTGTTGTTGTTGTTGTTGTTAAGTGCCATCGAGCCGGTTCCGACCCATAGCGACCCTGTACAGGGTTTCCGAGGGTGTAAATCTTTACGGGAGTAGAAAGCCTCATCTTTCTCCCACGGAGCGGCTGGTAGTTTCGAACTGCTGACCTTACGGTTCGCAGCCCGATTTGTAACCACTACGCTACCAGAGCTCCTTTGTATTACCCATTTAATGTCTGCTACCCTGTCCTGGTGTGGCACTGTGGGTTAATGCGCCAGACTGAAAAGCCGTTTGAACTGCAAGATTGGTGGTTCAGGCTCATAAGCTGCTCCTCATAAACCCTATACAGGGTCACTATGGATCGGAACCAACTCCACAGCACTTGACAACAACAAACCCTGTCCTGGAAGGAGCATAGTGGTTACGAATCGGGCTGCAAACTGCAAGGTCAGCAGTTTGAAACTACTAGCTGTTCCGCAGGAGAAAGATGAGGCTTTCTGTTCCCGTAAAGATTTACAGTTTCGGAAACCTGGTACAGGGTCACTATGAGTCGGAACTGACTCCACAGCACATAACCACCACCACCACCCTGTCCTGCCATGGTGCTGTGGGATAATGCACTGGACTGCAAAGTCGGTTTGAACCACAAGGTCAACCATACAGGGTCACTATGAGTCAGAACCGACTAGATGGCACTTAACAACCCTATGTAGAGGAGTTCTGGTGTAGCGCTATAGGATATCCTGTAGGTACCCTGAAGGCTGATTCCTGGCTTATTTATTTCAACATCCTTTGGCTCAACACAGGATCAACTTGGTGAATAGCCCAGTTGTTGTTATTATTAGGTGCAATTGAGTCAGTTCCAACTTTTAGTGACCCTGTGTATAATAGAGCAAAATACTGCGTAGTCCTGTACCATCTTCACCGGCGTTGCTTTGTTTGAACCCATTGAAGTAGCCACTATGTCAATCCATCTCGTTGAGGGTCTTCCTCTTTTTCATTGACCCTCTACTTTGCTAAGCATGATGTCCTTCTTCAGGAATTGATCTCTCCTGACAACATGTCCAAAATAAGTGAGATAAGTCTTGCCATCCTTCTAAGGAGAATTCTGTCTGTGCTACTTCTTCCAAGATAGAGTTATTCATTCTTCTGATATATTCCTCATCAATACCATAATTCAAATGTATCAATTATTTCCAGAATTGACTGCCCTCTATCATAGTGGAGTCTTGGTATGGCACTATAGGTTAAGCACTAGACTGTTAACTGCAAGATTGGTGGTTTGCTCTGAGTCAGAATTGACTCGAAGGCACTTAATAACATCAGCAATGACAATAATAGTGAAGAAACAGGAACAGCCCTGCAGGACCACAGTGTCCAGAGAATTTGCGGCCCCTATAAGCCAAAAATCTGGTAGCGTAGTGGTTACGACTTGGGCTGTGAACCGCAAGGTCAGCAGTTCGAAACTACCAGCTGCTCCGCGGGAGAAAGATGAGGCTTTCTACTCCCGTAAAGATTTACACCCTCGGAAACCCTGTACAGGGTCGCTATGAGTCGGTTCCGACTCCACGGCACATAACAACAACAACATAAGCCAAAAAACCAAACACATTGTCATCAAATCGATTCCAACTTATAGTAACCCTCCATAGGGTTTCTGAGACAGTCAAACTTTACAGGAGCAGACAGCTTCATCTCTCTTCACTGGAGTGTCTCCCACGGAATGATTGGTGGGTCTGAACTGCCAACTTGTGGTTAGCAATCCAGTGCTTATCCTGCAGTGCCACCTGAGTTCCTTTCCTGCCCTTACGAGGATATTGTCAATAGAACTCTCTGCTTCCAGAACTGCTCGGAATGCAAGGAGAAGAGGGCAGCACACATCCTCTGCACCTACTGCAACCGCTGGCTGTGCAGCTCCTGCACCGAGGAACACCGGCACGGCCCCGCACCAGGGGGTGCGCTCTTTCCCCGGGCCCAGAAGGGATCTCCAGGTACCACGCTTGCTCTCTCCACCAGCTCACAGGCCTCCAAGCAAGCTGAACTCAAGACCCCTGGAGAGTACCTCTCTGACCTTGTTTTCTTGAGAATGGGGTGGTCTCAGAGCCTATCCCAAAGAAGGAAGTATCCTCCAGAGGCAAAGGGGCTTAGGCTCTCTTGTGACAGTGGATGAATGCCGATGAGACAGTGCAGGGAAGAATAATCTTGAATTATCATGGAAGTTCCCTCCCTTTTACCTTTATTCAGAGCAGTCACACCCTTTGATTTAATTACTTGATTCACTTCACAGTCTGGATTGGGGCTGTCCATTTGTCCTTCCAGCACTATCTGTTTTAAATGACAATCTTTTTGAAAAGCTTTTCCCACAGACCCTTTAACTATGAGAGCGTTTTGCCCTTTGTCCTACCTGTAGGAACCAGCATTCATGACCCATGTGTTCATAGCCTGAAACATGCAAGTCTGGGTGGCTGTTTTCAGTCCCGTCATAACAGAATTCTGGTCAATGAGGAGGTTTAGGTTGAATTTTGGAGGATTCCTTGTTCTGCAGGAAACCCACATGCAGTGGTAGCAAGCCCCTTCTTCAGCCTCTGGTGGGGGGAGGGCTGCCTGGGAAGTGATGGTGGATTGATCTGGGCAGATGGATGCATCCAGCCAGTCTAAGTCTATATTCCTCTTTGTGCCTTTGGAATCTCACTGGCCTAGAGAGAGGCATCTCTGGTTTGTACCTAATTACCTCCAAGTTCTCTTTCTCCCCTGTGTCCATTGAGGGCTGATGGTTACTCAGCAAAGCTTACCTGAGAGGCCTACCTGAGCTCGAGAAACTCACTTTCTCCATTTTCTCTGGCAGGCGTGAATGGTGGTTCTGGGGACTTTGCTTTGTACTGCCCTCTACACACACAGGAAGTGCTCAAGCTGTTCTGCGAGACCTGTGATGTGCTCACATGCCATAGCTGCCTCATGGTGGAACACAAGGAACACAGGTGGGGCTGGCTGCCTGGCTATCTGAAAAGGACTTGGGAGGACTCTGGGCTCTTATGAGAACTTTTTTTTGGGCTCCTAAGCACATCAAAATTCTGTGCCTGCCCAAGTCAACCTGTAGTCCCTGGTCTGATCTGAAGTTTTTCTCTGCTATTGTTGTGGAGTTTCTTTGGAGAAAGCCTAATGGGTCACGAGCCAGCAATATATCTGACTCTCCATAAATGTGATCATAGCCCCTGTGGGCCTAACTGAGACACACACCATGGGGATCCTTGGTTGGCTGGCGTTTCCACGCTGGGACACAGCCCTCTTCAGCTTTTTTTATGCTCCATTCCCTAGGTGCAGACATCTTGAAGAAGTTTTGCAAAACCAGAGGATGCTTCTGGAAAGTGTGACTACACAGGTGGCACATAAGAAATCTAATCTACAGACATCTGCAAAGCAGATTGAGGACAGGTAGCACAGGCCAGCTCCTTGCCAGGGCTGGGAGTTCTGTTTACTCACATCCTACCTAGGTCCCAGTACCAGACTATCAGATGTGAGGCTTATGAAGAGGACATACAGTTAGGCAGATGTGGGGAAATAGCCTAGAAGGTCTTAGAAGTCCCAGAGCCAATGAGAGGATCTTAGGGTTATCACTTGATAACTGAGGTCAAGCTTCATCAGGACAATCAGAGTCAGTCTGAGTCAAAGCATTTGCCTTTTGCAAGTGATCCTGAACTAGCCAGATGTAGGTAGTTGAGAAAAAGGGCACCACGTAGATATCGGGGATGAAATTGCTGTTAATCATGAGGTGCAGTAGGTCAGTGGCGATCTGTCCTTTATCCCTCTCTTCTAAAGTTTTTCATGTAAACCTACAAATGACGTATCATTGGTATTTTAGATAGGAAGAAGAATTAGTAAATACTGAGGACTTACATGCCATACACTGAGTTGTACATTATATAAACATTATTTTGTTCAAAACTTACAATTCTTTGAGGCAGGAAATATCTCCACTTACTGAAGAGGAGACTAAAGTTCAGAAAAGTTAGGTGGCTTGTCTGAGATCACACAGCTAGTCAGTAAGCTGAGCTTAGAATTTATTTCTGTGTGTGTACAAAGCCCATACACTTAAAACAAAAATAGCAGCTTTGCTGACATGTACCTTACATACCATATAACTCACCCTTTTAAGATGTACAATTTAGTGGCTTTTAGTATATTCACAGAGTTATGTAACTATCACAAGTTTCAGAACATTTCCATCACCCCCAAAGAAATTCATGCACATCAGTAGTCACTCCGCATTCCTCCCAACAATCTCAAGTCCTGGCAGCCACTAATCTCCTGCCTCTGCCCATGCTGTTCTTCTTGCATGTAGCAGTTCTTAGAATATCCTCTTTCTTAAGACAACAAACTATATGAGATTATGCACACACTCACTTTCTCTGACCCTGCTTTTGGTGCTGCATGTACTGGTAGACTGCTGAGTTGGTCTGCATGTGGTTTACCTACAGAAAACCAAGTTGAGCCATTGGCCCACTTAAATCAATTTAGCTGAATTGTGCAGAGGGAGGGTGGTAGAAGGACGAGTCTCTTCTTCCTCTTCTTGGTGTCTGCCGGGCCCTGACCTCAAGAGGCAGCCCCCTAGTCACTCAGTCTTATGCCTTCTGTCTCTGGGCTCCCAGTAGGCCTGAAGTGAAGGGCTCACTATGTTCTTTTCCACTCTCTCTCTCTTTACAGGATTTTTGAAGTGAAGCATCAGCACAGGAAGGTGGAAAACCAGATCAAAATGGCAAAAATGGTTCTCATGAATGAACTGAACAAACAGGCCAATGGACTCATAGAGGAGTTAGAGGTAGATGTGGACAGATGGGTCAGATGGATTGCTTCCATGTTGTTCTGGGCCAGAAACGATGTACAGATCAAATTAGTTCCTGGGCCTGTCACATTCTGTGCTGGTACTCATATGTGTAATTCCTTAACTCTCTGCTGCTGCCTGTATCTTAAAATGCCCAGTGTCATTTTGGAAGGGTGGGTCATTAAGTGCTAGAAAATCAGTTCAGTCTCTTATTAGTACTGTTGCTCTTGGGCACTACCTTCCTGGACCATGCAGGGTCATATCCTTGGAAGAGAGAGCCATGAAACAGCTCGCCTTCAGCAGCAAGTTGTACTCAAGAGATGTCAACATGCGTTAATTTTCTTCTCTTTGTCACCTGTTCCATATTTTCCCTATGAAATCTACCCATACTCCTTCTCTCCTACCCTCCATGCCTGTCCATGGCAGCACTCTTAGTCCTGCTGTCCTCTCTCAGGAGCACAGAGTCATTGATTCAGTGAGTGTTCACACTGACACACAACACGTCACAAGGCTTCCCAAACAGGTGGACGGTGATGCAAGAGCAGGGTCATGAACTTTGTCTTCTCTGTACCCAGGGCATTACTAATGAGAGGAAGCGGAAGCTGGAGCAGCAGCTACAGAGCATCATGGTTCTCAACCGACAGTTTGAGCATGTACAGAATTTCATCAACTGGGCTGTCTGCAGCAAAACCAGTGTCCCTTTCCTTTTCAGCAAAGAACTGGTAAGAGGAACTTGAAACTCCTCAGCCTATCCTTGCAGCTGATCAGAGCAGCACCTCTGTCCTAGTGCCGGTGAGGCTGTCTCCTGAAGTGTCTCTCTCTCTAGAATGGATAGAGTAAGATGTAGCTCCATCTAGTCTTCAAGTTCAGTTACTGCTTTCGGGTTAATGAGTTAGATATACATACCAAATGTATGGTAGAAAGGAACCAGGTGCTGAAATGGCCCTGTCTTCCCCACAGGTAACTCATGTGGGAAAGTCTGTAGTTCTTTGTCTCTGGTCACAGACTCAGACATTATCTTAGCAGTGTGCTATATATCCAGTAGAAAGTTATTGTTGATTGAATGGGGGTGGTGGTGGTGGTGAGGACTAAGAGGGAAGAAGGATTGTTGAAGTTTTGGTCTTGGGAGGATGACGATGCTTAGGGGAAGGAGTAAAATTTCTGAGAGTTGCTATGAGATTTTTATTTGGATATGTTGAATCTAAGACGTCTATAGGTCATGTTAGAGGAGATGTCTGAAAGCTATTTAGAAATATAGGCCTGGAAATCAAAAGAAAGTTTAGAGTTGGAGACAGATATTTGGGATTCAATAGGGTATTGGTGGTATCACCTTGGAAGAATGTATAGAGGAAGAAGAGAGGAATAAGTTCAGAACACACAGAAATAACATCATCTTCAGTGTAGACAGCAGAAGAGCATGAGCAAAAAGCAACAGTCAGAGGTCAGAGGAGAAATAGGAGAGTGTGATGGATAGAAACTACCAGACCTTCAAATTTCAAGTGAGCAGTGTTGTATGTAGGTGAAACAAGATATATAGTGAAGAGATGCCTAGAGATCTGGGAATCAGGAAATCCCTGGTGATTTTTATCAAAAGACTTTCTAGTGGAAAGTAGAAGAGTCAAAAGACAGAATGAGAGGGCTGAGGATGGAGATGAGGAAGTCTAGATGGAGTGAGAAGGAAAATAGGAAGACAGTTTGAGAAGGAGGCAGACTTGGGGAAATACTTGCAGAGAAGTACATCGGGGAGAGGCTAGACACAGAGATCTCTGTGGTGGAGTTGGCATACTGAGAAGGCAGGAGGAGGTGGGATCTGAAGTGAATGGGTTAACCTTAAATGCTCCCTTCCTCTGAGATCAGAGGACAGGAAGGTAGGAGTATAAAGTGGATGAAGTTTGAAGGTTGGTAAAGTGAGGGTTGGAGAAAAAGAAGAAGACCCCCAATGACATGGATTGGCCCAGTGGCAGCAGTAATGGCATAGCAACGACTGTGAGGCTGGCCCAGGACTGGGCAGTGTTTCGTTCTGTTGTGTATAGGGTCGCTATGAGTTGGTACTGACTCAATGCCATTGAGTCAAAACAACAACAACAAATTTGAAGGTAGAGGGGATATAAGTTGTTGGGAATTTGTTCTTTATGATGTCTGTGAAGTTGTTGTTGTTGTGTGCCGTCGAGTCGGTTCCGACCCATAGCGACCCTGTACAGGGTTTCCGAGGGTGTAAATCCTTACGGGAGTAGAAAGCCTCATCTTTCTCCCGCGGAGCAGCTGGTAGTTTCGAACCGCTGACCTTTAGGTTCGCAGCCCGATTCGTAACCACTACGCTACGAGAGCTCCTTTTGTGAAGTATGAGATGAGAATGAAGAGGTTAGGCATTAGGTAAGTGGTTCTGATGTCCTTTGTCAGTGAGATTTTAAATAATCACTGAGAACAGTGAAAGAAGATGCCTACAAGAAAAAGGACCGGAGGGTGGCCCTGAAGCAGCTCAGATAACATGGCTTTGAGATGGAAGGGCTGACCTAAGTTTAGGAAATGGTGAGGTAGAGCTAATTAGTCCACTTGTTAGGTGCTGTTGAGTTGTTTCTGACTCATAGTGACCCTGTCTAGGGTTTCTGAGGAGCGGCTGGTGAGCTTGAACTGCCAACCTTGTGGTTCAAAATTACCTTGCAGTCCTTAGTCCACTGGTGATAAAGAAAATGACAGGAATTTCAGAAGACTCTCATGGACTGCTTGAGCAGGACTTGGACAATTCAATGAGGTTGAAAGCATTCTCTGAAAAAACAAGAGCTAGCTAAGTCAGAGAGTGGGTTGTTGAAGTTAAAGTTCTCCTAGGTAGAGCTGTTATCAATTATGATAGGGGTCTAGGTATGGTGATTACTGAAAACAGGCAAAGGTGATTGACATTTAAGAGACCAAAGAAGTAAGAGGCCACAATGTTGATTGGTACATTAGTTACCTAGATGATGGCAGGGTAAATGTACATGTGCCAAAGTCTTAGCTAAATGGCAAATTGAGTGATAGGAGACAGATGTCAGCAGGTGAGAAGGATGGAAGGCTGTCTTACATGGTGGGGGTGGGGTGGAGTGGCAAGGTGGGGAAAGCAGCAGTGGAAACTCAGAGGCTTTAAAATTCAGGTTATGAGCGAAAGAATAACCAAAAAATCAAACAAACCTGCTGCCATCAAGTCAATTACAACGTACAGTAACTCAATGTAGGATTCTAAGGCTGTGAATCTTTAGGGGGAGCAGATAGTCTCATCTTCCTCTGTCGGGACAGCTGGTAATGGGTTGAACTGCTGACCCTGTGGTTAGCAGTCCAGTGCTTATCCTACAGAGACACCAGGGCTCCTGTGAGAATAAATAGAGCTTTCTCAAAAATGATGTCCTAAGGGAGAATCATAATTCATTTGAGGTCTAGAAGAGACAAAGATGTAAGGGTTTCAGTAGCCTTGATGGGAGTCAGCTATGGAAGCCATGGGGGTGGGTGGTGAAGGGGAGGCATTAAGACGCAAGGAAATGATCATATGTAGGAAGAGCATAGGCTAATGGGCCAAGACTGAGCTCTTTAAGGAAAGGAGAGTAGTTGCCATTCAGCAAAGGATACCCAAAGAAATGACCTTTGATGCTGTTGTCAGATTGTGTTTCAGATGCAGCGATTGCTAGAGACAAGTTGTAACACAGATCCTGGCTCTCCTTGGAGTATCAGATTCACCTGGGAGCCTAACTTCTGGACCAAGCAGCTGGCTTCCCTTGGTGAGCTGGGGCCCACTGTGAGGGCTTTTTACATAATTGTTAAAATGAGTATAGGGCATCTGCTTAGCTTACTGGGTAGATCAGCATATTCCAGGAGAAAGAACACCCTGAGACTGCCAGTAGTCCTCGAATTATCTAGAAAACACATTTTTTTTTTTTTTTAATTTGGTCAGGGAGGGTTCAATATTAGATAACAATAGCAATATAGAGCTTTGTAACAGGACTAGTTAGAATCTAAAAGTCCCTTTCTACATGAATATCCTTGTCATCTCAGTTTCATTTCTGGAGAGGAAACTGTGACCCTGCTTTCCAGCATGGTACATAACATTGCTGCATGACAGTGCAGATTAACCTATGTCTCCATGGTCATACAAGGGTACACACATGTGGCATAGTTAGGGATACTGAAGCAAAAGTGAGCGTTACAGCCATCTTTTGGAGTTGAGACTTAAGCAGATAGTTCATGACTTTGTGCATTTTTCTGTCCTGCTGCAATCACTTTCTGGCATTCAGTATTTAGGCAGTATGTAGGCAACCGAAGTTGTGCCTATGTTAAGAACCCAGTGGTAGGTTTATTAAACTATTGGCCAGCTGCTGCCTTTACTCAGAGCTGCCAATTTCATTTCAAAGTTGTTTAACTTGGCAAAGTGATGAATGATGTTTAGGTTTGTTCTTTGCCAGCACATTCTCTCCCTACCTTTGCCTTTGTCTCCCACCCCTAACAATGATTCTTTTTATCAGAGTCTCTGATGGGCTGTTCTGTTAGTGGGGCTGGGGTGGGGGGGGGAGGGGGAGGAAGGACTGGGTGCTATTTTAGGAGGCTATGGGTTCCCTAGTGGGATAGAATAAGAGTCAGGGCTGAGTATCTGTGAAAAGTGAGCTAATGTCTCAAATGTCGCAGGTACATACATACACAGCGGTGTGATTGCTGGTAGCCTTCTAGATCAGGGTTTTTTAATTTATCTTTGTGTCTGGTACAGGTTTGTTAAATGATATCCTTTGGTCCCAGGAGCAGGAGGTAGCAAGGGGCTGGGGGCACAATGGCAGATGACGTTTGGAAAACTTCTATTCTGAATTTGCAGGCTGCATAACTACTGAAGGTGGACAGCTGTCCCGGGCAGATACTCCAGCCTATGGAGGCTTACAGGGGCCATCATCCTTCTATCAAAGCCACCAGTCCTCAGTGGCTCAGCAAGAGGCTCTTAGCCACCCCGCACACAAGTTCCAGTCCCCAGCACTGTGTTCCTCATCAGTGTGCTGCTCCCACTGCTCCCCAGCCTCCCCCTCCCTCAAAGGTCAGGCTCCCCCACCCAGCATACATCCAGCCCACAGCTTTAGGCAGCCCTCTGAGATGGTGCCTCAGCAGCTGGGGTCATTGCAGTGCTCCACCCTGCTGCCCAGGGAGAAAGAGCTGGCCAGCAATCCTCATCCGCCAAAGCTGCTGCAGCCCTGGCTGGAAACCCAGCCAGCTGTAGAGCAGGAGAGCACACCCCAGAAGCTGGGGCAGCAACTGTCTTCCCAGCCCATCTGCATCGTGCCTCCACAGGATGTTCAGCAAGGAGCCCATGCACAGCCCACCTTACAGACACCCTCTATCCAAGTCCAGTTTGGCCACCACCAGAAGCTGAAGCTTAGCCACTTTCAGCAGCAACCACAGCAGCAGCTGCCACCTCCACCCCCTCCCCCTCCCCAGCAGCAGCCACCCCCACCTCCATCCCAGCATCTAGCCCCGAGTCAGCATGAGAACCCTCCCGGGCCTGCTTGTTCCCAGAATGTGGACATAATGCACCACAAATTTGAGCTGGAAGAAATGCAGAAAGACCTGGAGCTTCTCCTTCAGGCTCAACAGCCCAGCCTGCAACTGAGTCAGACCAAATCTCCTCAGCATCTTCAGCAAACCATTGTGGGGCAGATCAACTACATCGTGAGGCAGCCAGCTCCGGTCCAGTCCCAGAACCAGGAGGACACCCTGCAGGTGAGCTTCACGGTGGCTTGGGGGACATATTTTCTCCACCACAGCTCAGAGAACACCAGTCACAGGTGGCAGAGAAACACAGTTTCTTCATCTCAGTGTGATCTTGAGGTCAACCTTGAGCTCAACTTCCTATCTTAGGGAAGCTCCAAAGAACACAATTTCCAGTCCCAACAATAGATTGGAGCTCAATCCTTTTATTCCATTCTTCCCCTACTGGGTGACAGTAGGGAACATACTCAGGGATGGTACCTTCTGGTCTGTGTTGGATCCTGCCAGTGCCAGGAAGGAAGGGAAGCTGTCTTTCCTCATTTTAACCTGCCCAATTCCCCTGCTGTGAACTCATGAAGAAAAGAGCTTTAAGGAGCAGAGGGAGCTATGTTTTAGATGTTAGTGGGCTGCACTTTTATAACCCTGCTCAGAAATGGACTTTATGTTTGTTTCAAGTCTATTAAGCTAGGTATGTTTTATATTCACTAGCAACAATATCATTAGATAGACTTTACCATCTGTATTTTGTAGATGCAGAAGTAGGGGTTCAGAGAAGGTGAGCAATTTACTTGGTGGTCATACAGCATCAAGTAGTAAAGCCAAGACCTGGATCCAGGTCTGCTGACTTTTCTGTAATGCCACAGAGGGGGCCTTGTTCTGTCCTTAGGGATATGCTGAAATCTGTTCCTCTTTCATCTCTGCTAAAAGTCAATTGGAGAGGTGCATTTTGTACTTCTGGAATCTTTGCTGATTTGCCATCTGCATTCTCGGCTTTTGCTTTTTTCCTTCCTTTTTTTTGCCACAGCCTCCTGTTCTAGCTACACTACCTATCCCTCTTCACTTTTTCATAGTAGTGCTTCCTTTAAATCTGTAATCACGGTTACATCTTGAGTGCAACTCTATAGACTGTATTACAAAATGCTAAGACCTCACATTTATGCTTCAGCACTGACAACTTCAGATCATGCTTCAAATGTCTTCCCATGAGACTCAATTCCTTTGAGGGGATGGGATTAGTCCTCATGATGGCAGAGAATAAACTAGAGTTCATAGACTACAAGCTAAATTTAAGTCAAAACTGTGGTATGACCACTAAGGTTAGCTCAGAGTTCTCAACTTGGCTTCCAGTCTAAGACAAATATATTAGGACACAGTCTTAGGAAGAGTTTGAATGGTGTATTTTCTTTTTGAAAACTGTTAAGTAGTCCAGAATGGTAACAATGAGCAGGTCAGGTTGGACACTAATCCTTCCTATTGCTTCTGTTGCTAGTCCTTGCAGTGAAACCTACCCAAGTTTGTATTTTCTCCTCCAGGCTGCAGATGAGCCCCCAGCAGCTGAAGGTCCAAAGCCAGCCCTCCCTCTTGACAAGAACACTGCTGCTGCCTTGCCCCAAGCATCTGGGGAAGAAACCCCTCTCAGTGCTCCCCCTCTGGACAGCACCATCCAGCACTCCTCTCCAACTGTGGTGAGAAAGGTACTCAAGGAGCCTGCTTCCCCTGACCACATGGGACCCGCTGCCAGCCAAGACCCCAGGGGCCCAGATGAGGAGGACTGGGCGGGGGGAGGAGTGTCCCTCTTTCATCCCTGGATGTTACACAGCCCTGACTCATGCCTTCTGTCCTAATGAGGTTCTCCTCCAGCCCCATTTCTATTCCCACATTCACATTTCAATTGGGACCAACTGGGCTTTGTTTAGGGCAGAAGGGGAAAGACAGCCAGTGTTTGATCACTTACTTCCCCTGGAACTGTGCATACTAGTACTTCATGAACATTTTCTCACTTAAACCTCCCAACAATTCTCTAAGATAGGTATTCCCATTTTAAAGCTAGAGAAATTGAGGTCCAGAGCCCTATAACTAGCAAATGAAAGAGCTGAGGTTTATTCAAAGCTATGTCAGAATCCAAAGGGTGAATACTTTGCAATAAAAATGAAAAAGGGAATTATGGTCCCCAAACCCCAAATTGGTTGGCTTTAGAGTTGGCATCAATAGAGTTTGTTGCATGAGTGATCTACAGGCATGTCCTGTAGAGATATTGAGATCTCTTCAAGATGAGCTATTGAGGACCTACCCACTAACCCACCAGCTTGCTGGAAGTGTTCATTTACCCTGGCAATAACCCAGAATCCCATAACAACTCAGCTGTGTTCCTCCTACCCCTCACCCTGCTCTGACCCCTGTCACCCTTTCAGCAGAAACCTCAGACCTATGCCATACCCTGTGTCTACTCCTCCTTGTGTCCTTTGACCCTATTCCACTTTTCCTATTGCCTTATCTGGCTTGGTACCCTCAGCTCTCCTGGTGCCTCTATCCAACCTGTACTTGAAGCTAAGTACTAGTCTGTACCTACAGCTGTACCTCCAACTGTACCTCCAGCCCCAGCTCAGCTAGTTTCTCTGTGACTAACCCCCAGCCCCTGACCATATTTCCCCCCAGTAGTACCATGGTCATGTATGACTTAGGTCAGTCTGGCTCAATGATATTTGGGAAGAGAATTTAGAAAAAGAAAGGAAAACAGAAATGAAATGTCAACTTGAGAATTCCGTGTGATTCCTGATTTGAATGGCTGTTGGTCTATGCCTTGCTTGTCTTACTGAAGATGGTTTGACCTGCTGGCTCTAGGGGCAGTAAATAGGTCCTCTGTGGCTCATAGGAGTCTAACTTCTTATACTTGGGCCATCTACCTTATCCATTTATCATTCAATATTGAAAAAATAAATAAATACTAGTCTCCTGTTGTTGTTGTTGTTAAGTGCTGTTGAGTTGGTTCCGACCCATAGCGACCCTGCACAGGGTTTCTGAGGCTGTAAATCTTTACGGAAGCAGAAAGCCTCATCTTTCTCCCTCAGAACAGCTGGTAGTTTAGAACTACTGACCTTGTGGAACCTAGTGTTTGCCAAATATTCTGAAAGGTGTCAGGCACACATTAGCAAATAAGAGAATCTCAACTGGAGCTAATAGTTTAGTGGGGGAGACAGTTCAACAATTATCAGTAACAAAGCAGGGTAAAGTGCTATGATAGTTATCAGGTTGCTTAGAAGAAGCATCTAACTCAAGGGGAGGGGACTGTCACAGAAGGCCTCCTCTAGAGGAGAGGGTTTTAAGCTGAGATCTGAAGGAGGAGAAGTTAGGTTAGTGATGGGGAAGAGGGGTGGAATGACACTAGAAAGGTCCAAAAGGCATCCTGAGGCACTGAGGGGGCCTTGAACAACTGGGTTTGGCAGGAACAGGAGATAACAATGGGCAATGAGAATGGTTAAAACCAGAAGACCTTGTAAATTATGCTCTGAGGTTGAGACCCAGCCTAGAGAATGAGGAGTGCATGAAGGAATTCCAGCAAGTAGGGAAAGAGTTGGAATTAAATGTTAGAAAGGACACTTTAGCTGTGGTAAGGGAGGCCAGAATAGTACAAGGGAGAAATAAGAGAGGTTGATTGAAATAATGGTAATGAGAGAGTAAAGACTTCAAGAGATATTCAGGAGTTGACATCTGATTGACAATGGGAGGTGATGGAGAGGAAGTCTTTTGGCTTGATACCCCAGTTTGTCTTGGCCCACTGGGTTGTCATTCATTGAGATTGGGAACATGGGAAGAGGAGCACATTTTAGGGAAAGAAGAAGTTAAATTTTTGAATTGTTGATATTCTTTTGTAGTAGATACATTATAAGATGACCAGAAGCAGCAAACTATAAATATTGGTAGTTCAGAAGGAAGAATGCATATTCCAAGTGCTCAAGTGGTAGTAGGTGGCATACATGCATAAAATGTTCCTTGTTATTGAATGACTCTCAGTTCAGTGCCTATACACAGGAGAGAGAAAAGGAGGTGAACCTCATACAAGCATGGAGTCTGTGCTGGCTGCCTGTATGTGTGGCTCAGAAGCTCTCCAAGTAGCAGTGGGATGCTGCTCACCTGGTGACTGAAAGGTTGGCAGTGGGATTAGCGAAGGCTCAGGAACCCTAACTTCTTGTTTTGAGCTTTCCCTGACCCATATGAACTGAGACACGCAGATGTTTGAAGAGCAGGAGGCTTTCTCAGATGCTTTAGGCATCTTCATGGCTTGAATGCCCTGGAAAAGGATCCTGAGGTTGACCTTCTGATACAGAATAACCTGAAACACAAAGCTATTTTAATAAGAAAAGGGGTTTCCTTTTTGAGGTAATTTGTTGCCTTGAAGCTATACTTGGGCAGCTGGGAGGGTGTGAAACTTTAGGATGCCAAACAACATTTTGAATATCTTCTCACTAAATGATAATGTTTTATATAGTGTTTTCCATTTTTTCTATAGGTTTTTACATGGATTATTCCATTTTATCTGTTTGTTTATCCTAGCAATACTATGAGGAAGCCACTTTCTTATTCCCCTTTGAAAGATGTGGAAACTGAGACACAGAGAGGTTAAGAAACCCACCTAAGGGTTGTACAGCCGGCCATGGGCAATGCTAGGCTAAGCACAGGTTCCTGATTCAGCCCTGTGTTCAATGAGTAGATTATATTGCCTTTGTACACCATTTGGCTCTCACCTGCTGGATTTTCCTGTCTTACCAGTCTTTGAAAGTAGACTGCGGTTCTGCTGGGGAGAAGCCTTAGGATCCAGCCTAGTTTGGTTTTGGTTATTTTTATCTGCTAAAAGATGTTTTGGATTGCAGCCCACTCTTGCCTATTGCTGGCCTATGAGTTCCAGGGACGTCAGAAGTCTCTGAAGGTCACAACCAGAGGAACCTATGATATGGGGCACCTGTCTGCGTGTTCCCCAGGGACTTATCCATGCACTGAGCTGCTCACCAACTTGATCTGACCCCAAGGAGGACTTCTGTTAAAATAGAGTACACCTGTGCACAAGTACCTTAAAGTCGGCTTTCAATATCCTACTGGTGGAAGCAGAGATTGCTGCTGAAGTGAGGTGCTACATTTCTAGAACAGGCTTTCTAGTGGCATGAGCCTTACACTCTCAGGAGCAGCTTACCCCGTCACATCACCTGGATCCAGCAGGATATTTCTGAATGAATGCTGACATTTGTCTGACAATCACTGTTACCTGAACTTCCTAATCTTGATCCAACCACTCTGAAAAACAGACCATGGTTACAACTCTATTACAGAACCCTAATATCTAAAGTGAAAAAGGAAGACATTTTGATGACTTCGTTTCATACTTCTGAACCAGCTGACTGCTGAAAAAGACGTAGAATTCTTTTAAAAAACTCATGATATGAAAGAGAGAGGCATGAGTCCCAGTTCACCTGCAAAAGGAGACACTTTTCTGTACATGGTGTAGCCCCCAGATATTCAGCAGAGGATTTTGAAGCCAACAATGTATGGCTTGAGAGGATTCTGGGATGTATTTCCAGTAAATGATACAAAAGCAGTAGGCATTCCTGTGATTCAGATGATTAAGAGTGAGGAAGAAGAGAAGGATAAGAAGTCTGGTAAATAGCAGTTATTACACTATCGAAGCACTTTCACTCCCAACCTCTTAACTTGAATCTTAAAACAACTCTGTGAGATCTAAATTAGCCTATGGAAGAGGAAATCGCCGTCCAGAGATGGAAAATTACATGCTTAAATGTATACGCAAACCCTGGCATATATGAGAACACACTAGGTACCCTGTCATGATAGTCTCCAAATCTCCTCCTACAAACCAGAAGATGGGCCTGCAACCTCAGCAAAGATCTTTCTTCATAACCAGATCTTGACAGTAGGTTTTGTTCAGAAAAATTTCCAGGGCCTATTGAGGAGTCTTGGCATGGCACTGTAGGATAAGCGCTGAACTGCTAATAGCAAGATTGGTGATACAAGTCGGCACTGTGAGTCACCATATAGAGTCATTATGAGTCAAAACCAACTTGACAGCACCTAACAACAACAACAACAACAACTGAGGCTTTCTTAGGGTACAACCTGTGTCCTGGTCAATACCTGCAGAGCTGTACAGAGATCCAGTCTGTCCTATTCAGGAGTCAAGCCAAACACTCCGGGTTGGTGTCCTGAATTCAGCACCCTTTGGGAAGCCTATCACTTTAATTCTCTCCTGCTTTCACTCACAGGCCGAACCCAAGGTCTTTGTCTGGGTCTTTTGTCTTTGGTGACAATAATTGCTCCTTGCTTCTAGGTCTTGGGCTGCTGGCCTGGGCAAAATCCTTCTGGCCTAATTCTCCTGAGTCTCAAAGAGTTGGTTTTTGAGGGACCAATTCATTCTTTCTTTTACTTTAGACTTGCTGGACTTCACTTCTTTCTTCTACCTCAGACTCTGGAATCTTCTTTGTTTTTCTGTTCTCTCTGGATCATCAGGGCACTGGGCACTCACTCTTCCGTTTTTTTCTATTTACTTCCTATCTGCCCTTTCCCACTTGACTTTGGCCAGTGAGCATATGGACAACATAGTTACATCCACAGTGCAGGTACAGCCTTCATCAGAGCAAGCACTTTTCATGGAAACAGGAGCACTCCCTCACAACAAGCACAGCATCAT